CTCAGTATTGTATATGCAAAGGGGTTCATATTTGTTGTAAATGAAATCTTTTTTGTTTTTAAAATTTTAACTGTCATTTGTTCTTTTTTTGGGAGGGGGAGTAGAGGAACTAGCATTTTACATTTTATGAGCAAAAGGGAGTTAACTTGCCAAGGCCTTATAGTACATTTAAAGCTATGTTCTGACTCCAGTCTTAACTGCATGCTTATATGCTGCTTCCTTCTGTAAGAAGTCACGGTCTTTTGTGTTGTAGTAAAGAGCTCGGGATGAGTAGATAAATGATCTTTTTTACTGCTTTTTTTTCAGTCTTGAATCCAGATAATAGTTTTGAGATATTAGTTGACCAGTCTGTTGTGAACAGTGGAAATCTGCTGAGTGACATGACTCCTCCTGTAAATCCTTCACGTGAAATTGAGGACCCAGAAGACCAGAAGCCTGAGGACTGGGATGAAAGACCAAAAATACCAGATCCAGATGCTGTCAAGCCAGATGACTGGTGAGTCTTTGAGTGCTAGGGAGTATTTTGTATATTCCATGTGGCTTAAACAACCAAATGTTGGTTGAGTAAGAGCTGATACTTTGAATTACCTACGATGCAGTCTGAACTAGGAAAAAATGTAGGTGACTAGCTGTAAAGAGGTCCTAGTGATCATGTGGATTACATCACTGTTTCATTGTTGTTTGCCACTGAATCGATTATGACTTGTAGCAACACTATACAATAGAGTAGAACTACCCCATAGGATTTAGGCTCTAACCTTTATGGAAGCAGATCACCAGCTCTTTGTCCTGTGAAGCTCCTAACCTATCAGCAGCCACATGCTTAACCATTGTACCACCAGGACTTCTTATCACTGTTTTATAAACCACAAATTGGTGAAATTACATATTAATTTTTTTTCCCCCATTTGTTTGAATTATACCCAGAAATAAGGAGCTCTGGTGGTGTAGTGCCTAAGGCATTTGACTGGTAATGAGAAGGTTGGCAGTTCAAACCCACCAGCCGCTCCACAGAAGGAAGACTGGGCAGTCTATTTCCATAAAGATTTACCACTTTGGAAACCCAAAGGGGGTTGCTGTGAGTTGGAATTGACTCGATGGCAGTGAGTTTGGTTTTGGTTTTTATACTCAGAAATACCTGCTCTGTTTTGGGCAGTGATATACAAACCAAAAGGACATAGTCTGCCTACATAGAGCTCACAGTCTAGTTGCAGGACAGCCAAAGCAATTGAGTCTGTTGGAAGATGTTACAGGGTGATTAGAGCACTTGAGTATACCTAACCCAGGAATGCTTTCTTGGAGCAGAGCAAATCTAGATTGAGACTTGTAGGCCAGGTGAGAATTAACTAAGTGATGAAATGGTATTCCTGGTGGAAGGAAGAACTTTATTTGCAGAAGTAGAGGAACAGGAGTGAACTTGACCTGTATGAAGGAATTCAGTATATTGCCTTTTTATGTTGGATGTACATTGGAGAGTGATATGAAAGCCAGTGGTATCATACTCTTTTGGGCACATGTAGTAGTATATTTTAAGTCCAGTACAGTAGTTTTCAGAAATGTCAACAAATAAACAAAGGGAAATGATAAAACTGATCTTCCATTTGTAAAAGTATTCTCTTAGAGTTAGCAATTAAATTCTGGTTGATGTTCTTTCCTCCTCAAAGGTAAGCTATGTGTACAGGAATTTTTTTCTTTTTGTGATTTGGGTGAAAGTTTACAGAGCAAATTCACTTTCCATACAGCAGTTCACACACACATTGTCTCGTGACGTTGGCTACAATTTACTCCAATGCAACAGCTCCCTTCCCACTTCCTCCAGATAGTTAACCTCTTCCCTGTGTCCATCCCTCCACGCACTCCTGCCCCCTGAACTGTCTCCCTGTACATAAACAGCCCTTCTTTCTCCCGTGATTGTTCTTTCCAAGAAGTGTATCTCTCTCAGGTACATGTTCAACTCTTATACCTGTCTTTTGTTTGGCTAGAAGCCAGAGCTGTGGGTTCAATTCCAGACCTGAAGGGCAGTTAGGGGTTATAGTCTCAGTGGTTCCACCAGGCTCAATCAGACCAGCAAACCTGGTCCCCTTTTTTTCCCAAATAATTTTGAGTTTTGTTCCACATTGTTCTCCCTTTCTATCCAGGATCTCCTACGTAGATCCCCCTCCAAGTGGTTGACAGTGGTAGCCAGGCACTATCTAGTTCTTCTGGTCTCATAGTTGTAGAGGCTGAGGATTGCATAGTGTACCAGTCGCTAGGACTAATTGTTTCCATGAATCTTTGGTTTTCTTCATTCTTCTTTGCTTTGGACGAGGAGAGACCCATTGTTGAATCTAGATGGCTGCTTGCAAGCTTTTAAGATCCCAGTCGCTACTAGCCATAATAGGTGGTGGAACAGTGTTTTATGTAGTATGTTATGCCAATTGAGCTTGATGTCCCTATGTACAGGCATTTTTTTGTTGTATTGGTATAACTCACATTTATTTGTACATTTGGTGAACATTAGATTTGGACTTGGCTTTATTCACTGTTACATTCTTAACTAACTAGAGTTGAGGTATAGATGTTATACAAATTCTTGAAGTTCTCAAATCATTTAAAACTAGCATAGTTCAAAAACAAGCTTAATTTTGATGAAGGATAGAAGGTGCCTTTGTTTACCAACTAAAGTGAGACTGTCTTACGTCTGATTTGAAAACTTAAATGAGGCATTTCTTGGTGATGTTTTTGGAGGAATTTTTTTTCCCTTACAGAGATATAATTCACATACCATAAAATCCACTTTTTTGAAGTTGTTGTTAGGTGCTGTTGGCTGTGACTCATAGCAACCCTGTGTATAACAACAGAATGAATGAAGTAAGTATACAGTGCACACAGTTCACTGTATACTTCTCTACTATCTAATTCTAGAACATTTTCATCATCCCAAAAAGAAACCCTGTATGCCATTACCTTTCATTTCCATTCCTCCTCTCAGCCTCTGGAAACCACTAATCTACTTTCTATCTCTACAGATTTGCCTGTTCTGGACATTTTTATTAATGGAATCATACAGTGTGGCCTTTTGTGTCAGGCTTCTTTGATTAGCCATAAAGTCTTTAGGGTTTATCCATGTTAAATCATGTATCACTATTTCTTTCTTTCTTTTTTTGTTTTTTAAATGCTTTAATAATGTTCCATTGCATGGATATATACTACATTTTGATGGTCACTTGGGTTTCTACTTTTGGGCTATCAGAAATAATGCTACTGTGAAGACACATCTACACATTTTTGTATGAGCATATGTATTTGTTTGTTTTGAGCATATACCTAGGAATGGAATTGCTGGGTTATATGGTAAGCAACTTTTTGAGGAATTTCCAACTTTCTCCAAAGCAGCTGCATCATTGTATCTTCCCACCAGCAGTGTGTGAGGATTTTTTTACAACCATCCTAGTGGGTATAAAGTGGTATCTCATTGTAGTTTTGATTTACATTTCCCTGATGGCTAATGTTATTAATGATAATGAATTATTTCCATGTGCTTATTGGCTATTTGTATTTGGAGAAATGTCTGTTCAGATCTTTGCCCATTTTGGAATTGGGTTATATGTCTCTTTGTTGTTGAGTTGTATGTGTTCTTTATGTATTTTGGATGTTAAACTTTTATCAGATACATGGATTCTAAATATTTCCTAGGAAGGACTATTTAAAATTTAGGTATTAAGTAAGACCTAAACATTTTCAAATTGCCCTGTTTTAGATTCACAGTGGGACTACATTGATTTTTTTTTGCCAGTGTTGTCATTCTTGGCTTTTTCTTTTCTCTTTAAGGGATGAAGATGCCCCTGCTAAGATTCCAGATGAAGAGGCCACAAAACCAGAAGGCTGGTTAGATAATGAGCCAGAATATGTACCTGACCCAGATGCAGAGAAGCCAGAGGATTGGTAAAAGCTTTAGTTTTACTTAACTTTCAGTTACCTAGTTTTTTACTGAAGGAAACCTTAAATATAGCCAAATGCCCAAATTTATGTGTAGAGCTTGATAAATTTAATTACATTTTCTTTCTTTTTTTTTTTTTTAATGAAACGCAAATCAAAAGGTACTGTTAGTGGAAATGCAGAAGTAATAGAAGACTTGATGTTTCATAGCATGACAATAAAAGCATTCTGTCAGTATCTGAGAGATTCACTGGGACTGCTGATGTGTCATAGAAACTATTTATAATGCTATTTATACCTCCACAGGGATGAAGACATGGATGGAGAATGGGAGGCTCCTCAGATTGCCAACCCTAAATGTGAGTCGGCCCCTGGGTGTGGTGTCTGGCAGAGACCTATGATCGACAACCCCAATTATAAGGGTAAATGGAAGCCTCCCATGATTGACAATCCTAACTACCAGGTTTGTGCTTCTTGAGGTTGATTTTTGTTGATCTTTTGGTATTCAGCTAAAATTTATCTGCAGTAAAGTTGCCAGGTTGATCACCAAATTCAGACTATTGAATTAAAAACAAAATTAACTTTGTATGTTGAGAGAGAATAGCTTTCATTGTTGTTTTGTAATGTAAATTTAAAAACAAAAAGAAAAGGAAAACTTGTGATTTGGGTACCCTGTTATTAAGGGGTGAGGGTGCTTCAGCTACAGGATCCAAATTTCAAGGTTGGCAGTCTGTGTGATGGGATGGAGAGAGGATTGGGATGGGGCTTGGAGCCTCAGTATCTTCAGTTATAAAAAGACTGTATGGCTCAAATGAGACAATAAGAATATAAATAATGATGTTTTAGATCTTTAAGCTTATATGGGAATGAATCCTTCAGACCCTTGTCTTCTGTTTCTATCCCAATAAAATTACTTAAAATAACTGGTTTCCACTTTGTCAAACTTAAAATATAAAATATAGGTATATCTCTATACACACACTGTATTTTTCTGCTTTAAAATATATTTCTAGTTGTGCAAACAACAAGATAAATTAAAAATTGTCATTTAGGTGGATTGCCAATTTGCCTTTTCCAATCAGTGCTGCAGTAATCATCCTTATATATATTGGGTGTATGTGTTAAGTGTTTCTTTAGGTAGTTTACTAGAAGTGAAATTGCTGTTGGGAGATCCTGTACATTTTAAGTCACCACTGAAAAAGCCTGTACTGACTTAAACACTCCCACTCCCATTAGCAGTTGGTAAGAGTGGAATCTGCTGGAATGGTCCAGGCAGAGCAAAGTAGTGGTTTGGAGCAAGGTCGTATTAGATGGTATTAGAAATAGAAAGAAGTTGGGAATCTAGAAATCTTAGCAGTAGGGCCTGCAAAACACCAAGCATAGTGCCTGGCCTGTCGCTAGCATTTATTACATTCTTACTGTTGCTCTTTTAAATTTCATGAAGTTGGCACTTATCTCCACTGGGCATACACAATTCATCACATAGAAGGTAAAACAAAATTTTGTTGAAATTATCTGAAATAATTTATTATTATTATTATTATAACTTTTCTAGGGAATCTGGAAACCCAGGAAAATACCAAATCCTGATTTCTTTGAAGATCTAGAACCTTTCAAAATGACTCCTTTTAGTGCTATTGGTTTGGAGCTGTGGTCCATGACCTCTGACATTTTTTTTGACAACTTTATCATTTGTGGTGATAGAAAAGTAGTTGATGATTGGGCCAATGATGGATGGGGTCTGAAGAAAGCTGCTGATGGGGCTGCTGAGGTTCGTGCTTGCTTGTTTCTTATGTTTTTGTATGTGTTATTGCACGTAACTAGTTGCTGCTTTTCAGAAAAGTTACCTTTTTTAGAGTTTCTGTTTTCCCTTATTGGGGAGTATTGACAAAAAAAGTATGCCAGTAAGTTGCTTGCTGAAGACAAAATACTGGGTTTTTAAACATGATTTCAATAGTCTAATATTTGTGTCATAAGGAGCTCTGGTGGTATAGTACTTAAAGCACTCAACTGCTAACAAAAAGGCTGGGGTTTCAAACCTACCAGCTGCTCCATGGGAGAGAGGCTGTGAAGATTTACAGCCTTGGAAACCCTATGGGGCAGTTCTACTTTGTCCTACAGGGTCACTGTTAGTTGGAATTGAGTCAGTAGCATTGGTTTGTTTTTTGTGTGTGTGTGTGTGTGTGTGTGTGCTGTGTATGTGCTGTGTGTGAGGTATGTTTTAATGTACTCTTAAATGTTGAATCTTGGTTTACCCAGTATATGGAATTTTCAAACAATTGGTCATGTGGCAGAGCTGGGAATTGAATTGGAGACCCAGAGACATTGAGATCAAGAAATTCTTCATTCACTGGTTCCTGAGGTTAAGGGAGCCTTTTCAGGTGATTAAGAAACTAGATATCACACTTAAAAAAGAGAAGTCACCTTATTGATAAGGAAAGCATGAAAATTGAGGCTTTTCTCTAATTCCCTTTGTACTTAATACAAACATCTTGACTTAAATTTTTTTTTTTTTTAATTTGTAAAGGAGGAGCCTGAGTAGTGTTATGCAGTAGTTGAACAGTAGGAGTCTTCAGCAGTATTTGGTGTCAACAGCCAGAACTTGCATTCAGTCCTGTCTTGTTTTTTCAGCCGGGAGTCATGGGGCAGATGATTGAGGCAGCTGAGGAACGCCCGTGGCTTTGGGTGGTCTACATTCTGACCGTAGCTCTACCCGTGTTTCTTGTTATCCTCTTCTGCTGCTCTGGAAAGGTATGAATTTTCTTTGGAATCACTTGTGATGTTAAAAATAACTAAAATAAATTTCTTCAAGTTTTATCTGTAGCAGCTCAGTCATGTCTGAGCCAGATTTGGTGTTGCCAAATAAAAGTCTAAAACTTGGAGTCACTAAACCTCAGTAGCCACTCATGGTGCCCAGATGGAAGTAGAATTTATAAGCCCCTTAGTTTCTAGTGTTATTTAGACCACCATATAATTAATACTCTCCTTAATTATCTAGCAGTAGCTTTCTAAAAAATATAAACTTGGATATAAATCAAGCCTTCTGGGCCCAGACCAGCTCTTACTTCTGGCATGGCTGTTTCTATTCTTACACTTTTGTAAATTGATTTTTCATTTCTTATCTCCTGCCATTCCCACCCTCAAAAAATACATGGTAGAATTCTCAGTTTTATTGTACGTTTTCTTGTGTAGGCCTTGTTTCATGAACTCCTTTTTTAATTGTGATTTGGGTGAGATTTACAGAACAAATTCACTTTCCATACAGCAGTTTACATATATTTTGTCTCATGACATTGACCACAGTTTACTACAATGCAACAGCTCCCCTCCCACTTCCTCCCCATAGTTACCTCTTCCCAGTGTCTATCCCTCCATGGACTCCTGCCCCCTAAGCTGTCTTCCTGTGCATAGGCAGCTCTTCTTTCTCAATGATTGTTCTCT